GCTGCCGCGACCCCTGCTGCTGCCGCCCCGTGTCCTGCCAGACCACCGTGTGTCGCCCTGTGACCTGCACCTGCCGCTGCACGCGCCCCATCTGTGAGCCCTGCCGCCGCCCCGTCTGCTGTGACCCCTGTGGCCTGCAGGAGGGCTGCTGCCGCCCCATCAGCTGCTGCCCCACGTCCTGCACGGCCGTGGTCTGCCGCCCCTGCTGCTGGGCCTCCACCTGCTGCCAGCCCATCTCTGTGCAGGCGCCCTGCTGCCGCCCCCCCTGCTGCCAGCCTGCCCCCTGCCGCACCACCTGCAGGACCTCCCCCTGCTGCTGAATAGCCCACTGAGAAACATTCCCAGGTGTTCAGAAACATGTAAAAACTCTTCCCAACCCAAGGGATCAAATGAGAGATTCCTTTGCAACCTACATGCTCTTCAACAACTAACTCAACAGTAGCTGTCTATCCGTTTTCCCACATAATTACCCAGTTAATCCCGCCCCTCTTCTACAATCTTTAGAAACATCCCGAATTTCATCATTTGAATTCCTGGCTTGAAAAAATTAGTGAACAAAGATCAAAGTTCCTCTTGAATGGAGCTCTATCCCACTGACTCATCATCACATCTCTACTATTATAAGATGGGATACTTTTCCAGGATATCATTATATTTATGAAGGGTTTTGCATGGTAAAATAATAAAAATTTTATCTCTGGGAAGCAAATGGGTTTCTCTTTATTGTTTATTAATTTTCAAAAGCTTATTTTTTGGTTATGGTATGGTATACATAATCAGAAAAAAAAAACAAAGAAAGAAGGGTTTTTCAGGGAACTTTTTTTTTTTTAACTTTAGGAACAATTCAGGTACAAGATCTGTAATTTTAATAGCAGTTTAAATAATGTAGAACATCTTGTGTGAGGTACTTTTATAGCTCAAGCCACAGGTTTTGTAGTGATGCTGAGGAAATGGAGAGACTACATGTTTCTCTGATCATGAACTTGACCCATGAGTCATCCCCACACATGTGATAAGTGGGAGGAAGACTAATTTAGAGCTGCATTTATAGCCTGATTTAGAAAACTGTGCAGTGATTAATATAAGTGGTACCTGGGAATCCTGAACCACTGAAGGCCTAGGCTAGAAGAATCACTATCCCATCTTTCCTATAGCTCCCCTCTGGCACTACTATGGCCAATTCTGATTCTAATGGAGTCATTGCTGCTGGAAAAATGAGATATGCAGCTGGAATCATTCATTTAGAACTCCAAATGACTTTACCATTAAAACAATCCCCAAGTAGTTGAAGTGGTAAAACATTAATCCACACTGGGCATATCTACCTGTCCAGAGAGATGAGGCAGGCCAGGAAAGCTTTATGAAGGTCTGGAACTTAAATGACTTTCTTCATTGCTGGATTCCCACTGATATGTGCCATACTTGGCACATAGGATAAAATCAGAATTTGTTGAAGGAGGGAATGAATAAGTTCTACAGGGTTGCAAGAGAGAAAAACATCTCTATCCCTCACTGATTCTCTCCTTATGATGGACATGTACATTCTTCTAATACAATAAATAAGCCACCTTATGAAGGAAGTATTTTTCTTGAAATATGGTAAAAAAAAAAAAAAACAAACTTCTCAACAAGAAGTCCATTGCAGTCAAAACATTGGCATGCACAACAGAGTCTTCTCTTTAGTAAGGGTCTATCTACTGGTATATAGAAACTGGACTTGTGAGCCTTTCTACATATTCTTGGACACCATTTAAAAAATTCTCTAACTACACAATTTTCCCCTCTCAGAATTTTCTTTGTTGGCTTCCTACAGAATTCCTTGTCTTACATTATTTTCTCAGATGTAGAATTCTTTGTGTACTCCCAAGCTTATCATCATTATTGAACTGTGCTTGTTTTCAGAGTAACTCCATGCCATGGTTAACCACAGTGGTTGGTGTGGATCTGGGTAAGCCTGCAAGAAACTATGCAAGCAGAATGATCAGAAAGGAGGCTTGCACCACAGCCTTCAACCACAGGCCTAGAACAGGATCAGTTGTAAAGCAAAAGATCAGAACCAAGCAAATCCAAAGGCAGAGTCTACAAAGTGGCTGAGGGAAGTGATTTTCCTCAGTCCCAAACGACTGAGAATCACAGCTGGCTCTGGGAGCAGGAGTATGCTCAAGCACAGTGCATGGGGAGACAAGGGAACAAGATACAGGGTATGACAAAGCAGGCCTGGAGACCACTTTTGGCAGGATCACTACCTGGTGCTCTATTAAGATGGCAGACTGCAACCTTCATCTAGATGGTGGTGTAGGGGCCAAGGGCAGGCTGCCCCAAAATGGGCTACTTCGGCATAAACATTTTCCTGAGTTAAAAGCAATCAAAACCCAGCAGATTCAGGAAATGTTCTTTACCTCCCCTGCAACTACCTGCCTCTACCAGGAAGAAATCTATTAACAAGATTTCTCTTTATATAAGACACTTATATGCTAATAGGGCAAAATTTGTTTTCCAAACATCTCCTCTCACCTTCTGGCTCATGGTCTTTCTCCCCTTTGTATCCTCAGACCCCCACCTCTCTCCTTAGCTCATGTAAGTATCATGTTGCCTCAATGTCTTTGGAAATTCCATGGCTGTGTGGATTCCCCATAAGTATGCCATTAAATTTTATTTTCTCCTCTTAATCTGTCACATGTCAATCTGGTTCTTAGTCCAGCTAGAAGAACTTTAAAGAGTAGAGTAAATTATACCTTCTCAACAGTGGCTTTGTTCATAGTGCCCCATAACCACTTTGATAGGTCCAACTTTGATGCTATCTCCTTAGGGTATGTTTTGGAATTTTTTTAAAGATTTTATTTATTTATTTGACAGAGAAAGAGATCACAAGTAAGCAGAGAGGCAGGCAGAGAGAGGGGGGAAGCAGACTCCCCGCTGAGCAGAGAGCTCGATGCAGGGCTCCATCCCAGGACCCTGAGATTATGACTTGAGCTGAAGGCAGAGGTTTAACCCACTGAGCCACCCAGGTGCCCCTGTTTTGGGATTTTTAGAAAGCTATGTGGGAGATAATTCTTTGAATTCCTGAGGATATGGGAAAGACGTAAGAATCCTTTCAGATAACTCTAAAAATTAGCCATTTCATAAATACCAACTATTTTAAAGATAAATTCACTGTTAAAATTCATACATAGAACAGATGTTCCTTAATGGCAGGGGAATATGATAACCATATTCCATTCTTCAGCTTACAAATAATGTTCCCACAGATGTTTTTGCAGTAAGCTCTGGCTCCAACCTAGTAGGTGTATGATCTTAGGCAAGTCACTTCTCTACTTCCTTATGTGTAAAATGAGGAATACAATACCTATCTCATAGGATTATTGTGAGAATACATGTATTTGTTTTAGCACAATATTTAGAATATAGTTGTTAGAATTCAATGATACATTATTGTGAAGATTTAAAAAATGCAATTTTCCATGGTTTGGAAAGCTACAACTATGGAAAATAATGAGCACATATCTAAGACAATTTAAAAAAAAAAAAAAAAAAAAAGCAAAAATCAAAAAAAATTAAAAAAAAAAAAAAAAAAAAGCCAAAGTCACAGTAACAGAGAATAGAACAGGGATTACCAGAGGCTGAGTTTATATTGTACATTCTGTACATAAGGAACCAGATAAGTGACTTGCCTAAAGTCATACACTCATGACACCCTAGTGTTGGAGCCAATACTGTGGGATGTCGGGGGTGAAAGAAATAATTAAGAAAAAAAAAATGGTACAGTGGTGGTTGCCAGGGGCTGGGGAGAGGGGTTCAATGGGTAGTTAGTGGGGTTTTTTGTTTTGGTTTGGTTTTTTTAAAGATTTTATTTATTTATTTGTCAGAGAGAAAGAGAGAGAGAGCATGCACGGGGAGCAGCAGAGGGAGAAGCAGGCTCCCCGCCAAGCAAGGAGCATAATACGGGACTTGATCCCAGGACCCTGGGATCATGACCTGAGCCGAAGGTAGCTACTTAACTAACTGAGCCACCCAGATGTCCCAGTGGGGAGTTAGTGTTTAATGGGTACAAAATTCTAGTTCTGCAAGATGAAAAGAGTTCCAAGGGCACCTGGATGGCTCAGTCAGTTGAGCATCTAACTCTTGATTTCAGCTCGGTCATGATCTCAGACTCATGAGATCAGGCCCCACCTCAGCCTCTGCACTCACTGTGAAGTCTGCTTGGGATTCTCTCTCTCCCTCTGCCTGCCCACCCACCACCCTCTCATTAATTAATTTTTAACTAATTATTTAATTACATCTTTTTTAAGAGCTCTAGAGATGGATGTGCTAATGGTTCACAGCAGTATAAATATATACCATATCACTAAACTGTACACTTAAAAAATATATGTTATATGTTATATATGTATTTTACCAAAATTTAAAAATTGGGGGGGAAAAACTACACTGATGACAAGATGATAAGATGTTTTCCTGTAGCTCCCAGAAGTACACAGTAAAACTTCTTTTACTGAGATACCATGACTTTTGAAATAGTCCTTTATTATTTTCCTGAACTTGTTTTGTCCAGGAAGCTTAGCAGTGGAAACAGACACTCACAACTTGGGGAATTCACTTCCACTATTAGTAAGAGCATGACAGCTACTCTGTGTCATCAAAACATCAATTGGTAAAACATCACTGAATTATGAAGATAATTGGAAACTTTGAAGTTAGGGTCATTAAGTTCATATTCGAACCATAAATAGCAAAATATAATGGGTCTCCATTAAATAAGGAAAGCAAATGGTCTTTCACGAATACCTGAGCACCTAAAAAAAAAGTGTCTAGGGAACTTGCTAAACTATCAGTGTCATTTCAGAAAAAATAAACACAAACAAGGAAATGATCATGTGTCCTGGGGGTCATCAGCAGCTGGCCAGGGTATATAAAGGGCCAAGAGTAGGACAGAGACATTCACACCTGACAACACCCAAATCCTCTCACCAGTCCAACCCTAACCAACCCCAGACATCACCATGTCCGGCTCCTGCTGCGGCTCCACCTGCTCCTCCTCGGGCTGTGGAGGAGGTTGCTGCCAGCCCTGCTGCCAGCCCTGTTGCTGCCGCGACCCCTGCTGCTGCCGCCCCGTGTCCTGCCAGACCACCGTGTGTCGCCCTGTGACCTGCACCTGCCGCTGCACGCGCCCCATCTGTGAGCCCTGCCGCCGCCCCGTCTGCTGTGACCCCTGTGGCCTGCAGGAGGGCTGCTGCCGCCCCATCAGCTGCTGCCCCACGTCCTGCACGGCCGTGGTCTGCCGCCCCTGCTGCTGGGCCTCCACCTGCTGCCAGCCCATCTCTGTGCAGGCGCCCTGCTGCCGCCCCCCCCTGCTGCCAGCCTGCCCCCTGCCGCACCACCTGCAGGACCTCCCCTTGCTGCTGAGCAGTGCATCAATTACTGATGGTCCCCAGTAGAAGATGGGATCCATCCATCCTGCTCTTCATAACAGAACAGCACGCCTTTTCTGAGAAGTCCGTTTTGTATCTCTTCACCCTAGCTTGGAGTAAGCACTGGAACCCCTTTTTCAGTCTGACTACTCATGAAGAGTACCCTGTCCTCCCAAGAACCCTGTCTAACTCCTCAATCATGTCATCTGTTTCCTAATAAACTTAGTATTTCCAGCATAGAAATCATGGTCTTTGTGATACTTTCTTTTAGTAGGTTCTGTTTTGTCCACAGACATTCAAAGCAAGATGCACAATAATCCTCTCAACTTGTTCTCTAAAATAACCCAAGTCTGGGTAGTTTCCTTATTACCCTTGTAAGTGGAATTTATAAGGCACAGTAACCAAGTGAGAAAGGTGGGCACAGCTAAATCTTCATCACACACAGAGAGTCAGATGTGCTCACAATCCAGACATGCCAAACATCTGGGAAATGTCCTTGAACAATACCCAGTAAGGAGGCTGCATCTCAGCTGATGAGGGTTCCGTCACTGATCTGATACCTGTTGGCAAGCTTAGAAAACCCAGTGTGTTAGAGGTGGAAAGAACCTCAGGCAACATCTGGTCAAACACATTTGTGAAGCTGAAGAGCAATGAGTAATGAAAGATAAAGTAAGTTTCTTACTAATATAATCACTGATGTTCATTAAAGATCCAGGAGACCATATGCCCCCTGACATTAAGCCCTTAAAAGTCAAATACTTCCTCTCAGTATGGTAGGAGACATGTTCTTCTGCCCAGAGGAACTCTTTGGTCTTTTATGGACAAGAATAACTGTGGTTTCAGATAATTCCTTTCTATGTGTTACAGATCTGGTAGTCATTTTGAGTGTTATTCAGGGTGTCAAGTCTTGTGGGTATTGAATCTACATCGGCTCTCAAGGCTGCTCACCTTTATGCTCAGGAACTGGGCAGTAATGGCATTTTCCAAGCAAATTAATCAATCACTGTCAGTCTACACATTGTTAAATATCTACTATGAACAAGACACTGAGCTGACCACACTGAGAGAATATGAAAGAATAAAGAGGGCTCTTGCTTCAAAGAAGTTACAATGTATTTAGGGAGATGAAGTATAAATAAGAAAAAAAGTCAAATAGTACATACTGCAAGCAATATAAATATAGAAGAAATGTCAAGTAGTTAAAAATAGTTGAAGATTGTAAACTTACTAGGAAACATGTGCAATTATCTTGTCATTTTTAAGTCAGAAATAAACAAGCTGTAACATAGTCAACTATTCTGTAAGGAAAATGTATTCTGCATGTTTATGTATGTTTATGCCTAAAAAATTACCTAAAACATGATGCAACAAAATCTAAGAGTAACTGGGGATAATACTCAGTTTCTTCTTTATAATTTTAATTACATAATTTTAAAATGAACATATTTTCCTTTTAATGGAATGTACTGTCTAAAACCTGTATCTATTTTGGGAAAAATATTTGAACCTTTCTCATAATTATGCTCTGCTTTTAAAAACCTACCTATCAGAGTCTAAATGGATGTAAAGCAGATAATTAGCAGCTATTTGTACTCAGAAGAAGTATTTTATTATATATAGAAGAGAATATCACTATGGCATATATGATGGACTTTCTGATACCTTTAAAATGATCAAATTATTAAACATTGATTTGCATTTTAACTCTTTGGGATCATCTCAACTGCTTAAATAAGGTGTGTAATTTGATATATCCCAATTAAAATTTGTTTTAATTGTTAGCAGTTTTAAATTACAGGTATAATTATTTTTGTCCATTTGAATAGACAATTGAGAATTAAGAACATAAGACAATATTTTCCATGTTAAAATTTGATCATACTGTTACATTAAATGATAGTGTTAAATAAAGTCCTAGCATTAGCAATACAAAATATGTAGCCCTTCACCACTAGGAATCTGTCTAAATCAGCTTTAAGGCTTTTTTTAATGGAAGTTTTTCTAAGAGCTCACTCTGTGTTGCATGGACTGTAGGGTTCTCAGTACAGTTCAGGCCACTATCCACAATTCTGACACATATTCTTCTTATAGGTTTTACAACAATAACCTAACTCCCCTTTGAGAAACTGGTGTTAAAAACACGGAACTCTATATCTTCCTTCCAGGCATTTTTATTTTACTTCATTATTACTTCATTTGTTTACTTCATTATTAATGAGACTCTCCAATAGATTATCTTTTTTAGTGTATATTCTGTGGTATAGAATAGAGTGGTAACTGAATAGAGTGGTGCAGGCGCCACCTGAATAGAGTGTTAACTGAAAGAGCAGACCATTTGCCATATCAAATATGCTCACCTTTATTCTAAATTCAAAAGTTAAAGGTTATAAAGGCACCCAAAGAAAATGACTTTTAAAAATATATTCACTTAATAAACACAAGACAGTTGCTAAGTGCCAGGCACTGTTCTTAGCAAGTGACAAATAATAGGTTCTTAGCAAGTGACAAATAATAGCTTATTTACTGTCACAACAACTTGGGTGTGTCCTATCATTAACCTTCATGGCCCAAGGACACGCAGCCAATAAGTAGCCAAGTTTTCAGTGAAGGTTACCTAGTTTTAGGATAAGCGGCATTAAAAAATGCTCTGTGGCTTGCCACCAATGTCAAATCACAGAGTTCTGTGGCACAAATTTCTGAAATTGGACCCATATTTTCTCTGCCTGTACATGAAGCTTGAATATGGGCTGGGGATGAGGACCTTAGACTAACACTAGAACCGCTTTCTGAGAGACTCACGACTTTCTGTAGATCTTTACAAAGGAGAAAGAAAAAATCTCTTTGGAATGATTTTGGATCAAAAGTGTTCAGAGTAGAGAAATTAGTCTTGTTAACTTAAGGTTTTATGTATCCTTGAAAGGCTCCCTTTACATAAAATGTGATCATGAAAACCCCCAACAATATGAAAAACTGATGAGACAATGTGCATTGAAAAGAGCTAAGCACAGGCAACAAAAACAAAAAAATCAGTAAGCGGGACTACAAATAACAAATAAAAACAAAAAGCAAAACAAACAAACAAAAAAAAAAAAAAAAAACAATTTGATTGAAAAATGGACAGAGGACCTGAATAGATATTTTCCCAAAGAAGACATACAGAGGCCAACAAGGTGCCCAACATCAGTAATTATCAAGGAAATGCAAATCAAAACCACAATGAGATATCATCATACCTGTTAGAACAACTAGTATAACAAGATTTAACAAATGCTAGTGAGGATGTGGAGAAAAAGGAACCTTCCTTGGTGTATTGTTGGTGAGAATACATACTGGTAAAACTACTATGGAAAATGGTATGGAGACTCCTCAAAAAATTAAAAACAGAACCAACATATGACCTAGGCAATCCCACTTCTGGGTATATATCTGAAGGAGACAAAATCATGACCTCAAAGAGGTTCTGTATTCCCATTTCATTACAGCATTGTTCATAAGAGCCAAGGCACTGAAGCAATCTAAATGTCAAATGATAGATGAATGCATATAGAAAATGAGATATATGTATACACACACACACAGCATATATATATATGAGTAATATATATATATGATGTGTGTGTATATTCCAAGTCTTGGAATAACTGTGTTTTTTTAAAAGATTTTATTTATTTGACAGACAGTGATCACAAGTAGGCAGAGAGGCAGGCAGAGAGAGAGTGAAGCAGACTCCCTGCTGATCAGAGAGCCCAACGCGGGGCTTGATTCCAGGACCCTGGGATCACGACCTGAGCCGAAGGCAGAGGCTTTAACCCACTGAGCCACCCAGGCGCCCCATGAATAACTGTGTTTTATACATACATAATGAAGTATTACTGAACCATAAAAAAAGAAGGAAATCTTGCTGTTTGTAACAACATGGATGGACTTTGAAGGCACTACATTAAGTGCAGTAAGTCAGAGAAAGGCAAATAATGTATGATCTCACATGTGGAATCAAAAACATCGAATTCATAGAAACAGAGAATAGAGAAAAGGTGGTTGTCAGGGGGTGAGGAGTAGAAGAAATGGGAGATTTTGGTCAAATGATACAGACTTTCAGTTACAAGATGAACACCAGGGATATAATGGACAGCACAGTGACCACAGTTAACAAATCCTAGAGGAGAACACAGGCAGTAACTTCTTTCACATCGGCCACAGCAACTTCTTTCAAGACACGTCTCCAAAGACAAAGGAAACAAAAGCGAAAATGAACTTTTGGGAGTTCGTCAAGATCAAAAGCTTCTGTACAACAAAGGAAACAGTCAACAAAACAAAGAGGCAATCCACAGAATGGGAGAAGATATTCGCAAATGACACTACAGACAAAGGGCTGATATCCAAGATCTATAAAGAACTCCTCAATCTCAACATCCAAAAAACAGATAATTATGTCAAAAAATGGGCAGAAGACATGAACAGACACTTCTCCAAATAAGACATACAAATGGCTAGCAGACCCATGAAAAAATGTTCATCATCACTAGCCATCAGGGAAATTCAAATCAAACCCATATTGAGATACCACTTTACACCAGTTAGAATGGCCAACATTAACAGGACAGGAAACAAGAAGTGTTGGAGAGGATGTAGAGAAAGGGGAACCCTCTCACAGTATTGGTGTAAATGCAAGTTAATACAGACACTTTGGAAAACAGTGTGAAGATTCCTTAAGAAATTTAAAATAGAGCTACCCTATGATCCTGCAATTGCACTACTGGGTATTTACCCCAAAGATACAGATATAGTAAAAAGAAGAGCCATATGTACCCCAATGCCCATAGCAGCAATGGCCATAATCACTGAACTGTGGAAAGAGCCAAGATGCCCTTCAACAGAAGAATGGATAAAGAAGATATGGTCCATATATACAATGGACTATTACGCAGCCATCAGAAAAGATGAATACCCAACTTTTGTATCCACATGGATGGGACTGGAGGAGATTATGTTGAG